AAATGTCAAGTCTCACGAACCCCCTCCTAAAAATGAATATTTCCAGGGATTTTCTCTTTTACCCAAGAATAAATTATAAAAGCAGTGATCTTGGAAATATAAAATTTGTTTTTATGACATGCTTATTACACACTATTTATTATTATTAATCATTACAGTATTTTTATTATATTATGAAAATGGCAACACTCTTCCAAGATCTCACTTTCGTAGCTTGTATCACTTTGAATAAGCCTGTTATAGACAAGTCTCCTATGTTTCATCAAGGAGTATCAGATGTGAAACAGCAGGAAGGTTTTTAAGAAGCTAACTCAAAGGGTTCCTCCTACACAAGCATTCAGGTCTCGAGCAGTCCAGGCAAACAACGCACGTTACAACAAAGCTTAAACTTGTTCTTTATAATAATTTTTAAAACAACACTAGCTGCCTATTTAATTTTAAAAACAGCAAAAAATATCCACCTCCCTTTCCATTTCTTATAAGAAGTCTTGAAGTTTAAATCTCCTCAGTGTGATAGATATGCTTGCTTTGATCTGCTTAGCTCTTGGAAGTCCAGGGGCTCCGGGCTGCTGGCCCTGTGCTGCCCAGGGTCCCTGGGGACAGCTCTGTCCACCATTAGGGAATTTTTTCTCGAGAACCCCCTGTAACATTTCACGAACCCCAGTCTGGGAACCACTGATGTGAGGGATGCTTGCACTCCACAGTCCATCTTGTACTTATGCAGTGTAAAGGGGACTTTGCAGTTCACAGTGGCATCTTTCTACAGCATGAAATTCACGTCAATCTTGTTTTAGTGAACTTTGATTGCCCTCCCCCAGACCCTCTTTCCCATTCATTGCTAATTAGCAAGGTCAATGTATAAAGAACAGCCCTTTCCTTTCTAACCAGCCTCCTCCTGCCTGGTTCATGAAGTATCTCTGATCAGGACATTATATTTCTGTGGCACCTTTCATCCCAGATGATCCCAAATGCTTGAGACGTTAAGTCCAATAGGAACTACATGGAGGGATCCCTTCACTTACCCTGACATCCTCTCTGCATCTTGGGAGGTTGCTGAGCCAGCAGATTTTGCTTATGGCATCTTTCCCAGTAAGAAGGGCCAACCCCAGATGTCCTGATTCCCAGTCCAAACCCCAGGAATATACAAGAGACCCTTTTCTAAGGTTTGGATTCATCCATAAAGAATCAGAAATGAGCCCTTTCCCTTATGAGGGCTTCTGCTTTATGGAATCCCACAGGCATCTGTCTGGAGAGCATTAAACACTCCCCACCAGGAACTTCCTTCACAGGAAATGAATTCGACATTTCACATTCTCTTGAATCATTTCTGCAAAGATTCTATCTGACATAAATCACAGTCTTTGTATTTCACATGTCGAGTGGATTTTAATTTAGCATATGGAGGCAAGCGGAGCAATGGCAGAGGGGCTCTCTTCAGAGTTGCTAGGGAGCGGCATCTCTGCAGGTTAGTGGGTGGAGGGAGATAGCAACATCCTTACACTTTCCATTCCACTTGGAGAGAGGGATCTTCCATTTCTATAATGCCTTGCAGACCAAAGGGTCCCAACTAATGGAAGTACAGTTGCCTCCAAAGTGGAACTTGGCTGAATAGAAAGTCTTAAATACATGTTCACAGTATCACACAGCACAGTGTGACAGGAACTAAAGACTACCAAAGCCAATCACCTGGGAAGTCCTGGACAGTTTTCCACTCAGGAGTAGACAGCTCATTGTGCAGCTGCTTTCCCTATTCTCCACCCAGGGGGAAGGGAACAGCATGTCTTAGATGTGCCACGATGATGCATCGGCAGTGAGTACACAGACTGGCACTTGGCAATAGACTAGCACAGGAGCAGCAGCTACTGGCCTCCAAACCCACCCAACTTGCAGTGAGAAATGACCAAGCAAAGCAGAAGGGCTCCACGCTCAGTGGCATGGGGATCCATTTTGCTAATGCTTCTCATCTATTATTTATTGCATTTTGTGGTACTTTATAGTCATGTAAAATCCTATTTTAAAGCAGTTATAAATAGGCAGAGCAACAGCTATGGTGGAGCCTGCTTCAGAGCTGGTTATAGCGCCATCTGTTAAGGATTTATTACTGCCATTTCCCAGAATGACTTTTTAATAACTTATTAAGTTATATGGAGGAATGATTAAATAAATATCAATAGCGAAAGGGGGCCTATGCTTCCAGCCCTTGGGCAATACTCCCAGAGATTAGATACAATCTCAGGGCATTGTCTTCAGTACAGGAGCATGGCGCTCGTGGTTCCTGCTCTTGCTGCCAACCCCCCAACTTCAGGCAGATTCCGCTGGCTGGGCTTTCACAAGGCTTCCTCACAGCAGCCAAGTACAATGGCCCTGGCAGAGGGTGCTGATCTCTGGTAAAGTATTTGTGCTAAGGAACAAAGATCCTGATTTCACAAAAGCATCCCTAGGACAGTGAACGAGACACAGAAAGCCTGACTTGTTTCCAAATGGAAAAATCACTCCCAGTTCTTTGACGCATCTGCGACTTGGTTTAATATTTAAGGGCACTATTCAGTGCTGGTGGAAGATGCTGGCCTGACAGTCCCAGGCCTGGGCTACAGTGGGGTGGGGGTTTTCAAACTAAGATACGCAACTTCCGCTATGCTATTCACACAGCTGAAGTCGAAGTATCTTAGTTCGAGTTACCTGCCCGTCCTCACGGCGGCGAGTTGACTGCGGCAGCTCCCCCGTCGAGTCCGCTTACTCCTCCTGCTGAGGTGGAGTACAGGCGTCGATTTGGGATATATCTAGACGAGATGCGACAAATCGATCCCTGATACATCGATCACTACCCACCGAGCCGGTGGGTAGTGAAGACGTACCCCCAGTGACTAAAATTCTGTGTCTCTACAGAACACGAGCTTCCCCCTCTGGCTGCCCTCTGCCAAGGTCCTGTAGCCCTACCTCAGGGAGAGAGGAGAGTTCCGTCATGGCACATTTGCTTTTTGGCTGAGACAAAAATCCATTGAAACATTTACACTGGCCATTTGTATGATCTGGGTCCCTACCCCACTAGCACAGGATCAAAACCCCTTAACAAACCCATTTACCAGAGGGCCAATTACTGATAGGCAGATAGAAAAGCTTTGGTGGGTTCTAACTTGAGCCTGATTCAAAGCAGTGGCAGTTTCACGTTGCAGTTAAGGTTGCAATCAGGCTCAGCACTCCATTGTGCTTGGAGCTGTACAAACACAGAACATGAGATCTCTGCCCTGAGGAGCTAAGAGTCAAACAAGACAAGTGAGAGGGGGTTACAAATGTGTGACCATTTTTTAACAGTCAAAATAAACTCTCTCCGAATGCTTTTCAGTCTAGCACTCAGCACCTCAAGGTACTGCTTCGTAGTCCATTATCAATTCCCTGAGTTAACCTTTTCCTGGTTCTTTTAAAACAACTTTATTTCCAAAAAGAGTTTGGGGCAGGAACAAAAACACACAGAAGACTGCTAAGTTTCCATAGGAAAAAAATCTTTTATTTAACAATATATCAGGTTCCATCATGGCTCCATGGAATTCAGATTCCATATTACTGATTATTGATGATATGATACTGGGTGAAAGCAGCTGTGTAAAAGGCAAAGGAATAAAAAAAAAGGAACATGACAAGAACAAAAGAATACATGGTTTGGGTGAGCATGGCCAATAGGATTCCAGGACTCTGGACTGTGGCCCAGAAGCCAAACCAAAACTTAACAAATGGATGGAACATGATTAGAAACCAAGAGAGGATCAACCAGCCAGTGAGATGCTTGCCCACTGACTATCTTGCTCTAGGGCAAGGAGAAATACTCTGCACCTTACACTTCATCATGAGGGTGGGAAGGGAACAATCGTTCATGAGAAGAGGCACTCTCATTTTGGAGCATTTCTCAGACCAAGTCATCTGTTGCCTGCCAAGGAGAGGCCTGAGTGGATGGACTCTCTGTGGAGAGGCTGGAGAGAAGGTGAGTACTTTAATTCTGTTAATGAAGGCAAAATGTGTAAACACTCATTAGCCCTGTGGCTGGAGAGCATCTGTACTCTCTGCATACAGATGAGGACATCAGTTACAGCAGCAGGGCAGCACAGCACTGGCAGCCTGACCACTAATCTTGTCCCAGAACGTGTTCGTGAATCACCCTCCTTTGTCTGGTTCACTGACACTCCAGAAATGTATGAGGAATACTTGCTACCTCAGATCTTTTACAGTTGGGAGTACCCTGCTGGCAACATCAGCTGTAAGGGCAAGAAAGAGCTTGAGGTGCAGGAAGGAAAGGCGAGAGCATGATCCAGCCAGAATGCCTGTGAGACCGTAACTGACTGTTACTGCTCCAGCACAGACGGGCAAGGGCGGCCGAGGCAGCAGCGCCACTGGTTGATCACATGACTTAAGGTCATCCCCAACTTAGGAAAATGGAAGGAAGTTTAACTTGCTGCAGAATACTGGATTGTGGTATTTAATGAGATGACCCAAATGTGCACATGGCTGTGATGCATGGGCTCATCTGTCATGCCAGGGTGTATTTGCATACACACGGTATGTACACCCCCCACGAACGTGTACCTGTTTACATCTCTGAAATGCGGGTGCACGCCTCGTTACGGGGTGTGTTTGCGCGTGCACTGCCATGGAGACAATGGGTTCTCTTGACCCTTTCCACCTCATCAACTTATCTTAACATTCCAGAGAACCTGGCACTGCAGTAATCACCTCACATGAACTCATTGTGTTGCTAGAATGCAGAAGGTTTTTGGCATAACTAACTGACCAGCAGCTTTAATACACAGGGCAATCACCACAGACTCAGACCTCGGAGACAGACGTACTAGGCCTCTTCCATCTCTGAACCACCTGCCATTCGTGATGTGACAGCAGAGCTGGAAATGGTTTCCATGAGGCACGTGCACACCTCCCCCTATGGGACTAACCTCTGGTGCTTCCCCACTCATTCACTTTAGTTAGGCAAAGTGCACTTCTCTAACATGAAGGCATCAGGCACAGTAAGGAGGGGTGGGGAGAGTTTAGCTTTCTCTTATCAATTAGAAAGAAGAGGGGGTGGGTTAACATCCCACCCCAGCACTGACAGCTCACACATCACGAGGTAGGCCCCCCAAATTCATGAGTTTGGCTTAAAAACTTTTTTTTAAAATGTGTGTGTGTGGGGGGGAGGGAGGGATTTACCAACTGCTTTTAGAGCCTTTAGAGCAATGGTTCTCAAACTCTGGATTGCGAACCCATTTTAATGGGGTCACCAGGACTGGCTTAGACTTTCTGGGGCCTGGGGTTGAAGCCGAAGCCCGAGCCCCACTGTCTGGGGCTGAAGCCAAAGCCCGAGGATTTCAGCCCTTGGCGGTGGGGCTCAGGTTACAGGCCCCCTGCCGGGACTGAAGCCTTTGGCCCCTCACGTGGGATGCTGGGGCTTGGGTGGGCTCAAGCTTCAGTCCCTCCTCCTGGGGCCATGTAGTAATTTTTGTTGTCAGAAGGGCGTCGCGGTGCAATAAAGACCCCATTCCCTGATTCTCCATAGCTCCACCAAAGTGCCCGCGCACACACACCCTTTCGCCGATGAGCCTCCTGAATTTGATTGCGGTATGACAATGTTTTACACCCGTTCTTGCAGTTATTTTTTTTTTTAGTTCTCATTTGTTTTTCTAAGAAAAAGCAACCAGAAAATAATTCAGAGTTTATACAAAACATCTTTACATTATTTCTTCCAAAAAAGACTAGTATTTACACACAAAAACAAAACAAAAACAAAAACCACCTTCAATTCTTTCAGTGAAAAGAACAAAAGGGACACTCAGTTACAGGACCCAGCAGACTGAGGTGTGCAGCAAGATTACAGTTCAGATTTCACCCCTTGACATGGTTACAAGTTTTTTCAGCTGCCCACAGCTAGAGGAGTTAGTTACGTTTATGGGGGTTACTACCAAGCAACCCACATTCTGTTGATGATGGGTGGTTTTGCCCTTTCATTAGCAGTATACTACTAAGATTTAAAAATCCCAGAAAAACAGAGGAGGGGCGAGCGGACAGTCACTGCATTCAGGGGGCAGTAATCACATTGGAGAGCTAACAATAAAAGTTGGAACAATTGTATTTATCTACTTTTGGTTTAAACATCTGGCCAGCCCAAGCCCCTTGTGTCTCCTAGCCCTTCCCATCAAGCATGCCTCCAGCTTGACCATCGAAGTCTCAAACCACTGCCAATCACTCCTTTCCAGGCTGGGAGGTGAAACTCCTTGTAAACAAACGGTTCTTTAACAATGCACACAGGCTGGGCTGCTTCTCCAGTTTTAGCAATCTCGATTGTTTTAGTTGCACTTGGAAACAGGATGCTGATTTTTTTGGGGAGGGGGGATATCTCTAAGATTAGAATCTTTTCGCAGTTTTGCACAACAGACTCAGTCAATCCTCTGTGGAGTCCTGAAAAACCTGGACCTTGGCCAACGACCTCAGCCGAGCAAGCCTCAAAGTGCACTTTTGTCTAAGCGCTTTAGAAACACCTTGGCAAAACACTGCCCAGCCTGGCAGCTATGCGGCACAGCACGGCATCCTGCACAGACCCCCACAGCGGGGAAGTAAAGGTGCATTTGGGGAGGGAGCAAAACTGAAAGGTGTAAAATGAAACCTCTTGCAATCCTGACATCTCTCAGGGGCTGGCAGCTGAACAGTGTCCCTTCCGCTGTGCCTCAGCCCAGAGCCCACAAGGAGGGACAATGGGATCAGCTTAAGTTCCCTGTGATTCTAAGGCTCTACTCCTCCCACCGTAAAGGCAGCCATGACTCTAGCCGGTTTATTGCCCTGCACGGTGCTGAGAAGTGGAGGGTGGGGGGCATCCTGCTTCTTGCCCTGTCTGGGATTGGAGGGAGAGGGAGAGGAGAATGGTGCTCTGCTCAACCCTGAGCTCTCATTTTTTCATTTCTAAAAAACTGAACAATTGCTCTTTGATGCAGCCCGCAGGAGGCCATTTCCACAGAGCACAGTGCCCGCTTTCCCCTCTAGATCTCAGTGGGCCCCATATCCCTCCTGGTTTTACATACGCCTTATGGAAATAAGTGCCCTGGGTTAGAGGGAGAAGGCACAAGGGCAGGATTCAGGAGAGACTGCCTGTAATGAGATCAGGACAGTGGAGTCCCCCACCGTATGCTGTGCTTTGTGTTCCTTCTCCCTACTTACTGGGCTGTACCTGGAGTTGGGCCACATCTCCCCTTGCAGCCTGCAGGCATGTGCTTATTGCACCCAGCTGCATTGCATGGTGGTGCTCTCTGGCCGTGCACTTCCAAAAAGCCAATTCTGGGGCCACCAGTAAATGTGAACAGTTGAATACACACCAAAGAAACATGCAGGGAAAACAGAGGGATGGTTAGGGCACTAGCCCAGCTCCTTAAGCAGAACCCAGCTTGGAGGTTGATGTGGGTGCTGTGGGCCCCTGTCATTCCTGACAGCCTCTGGTTCCCAAGATAGTTTAAGATACTGTGCTGTAGCCAATCCCTTTCATGGATTTACAAATGGGATCCAGTAAACTAAAGAGATGACTAATCCCCGCCCAGAAATAGGGCTGGGAAAGGCAGATGGCAGCCTCAGAGTGAGTCCAGTGGACTGAATGACTCCTAAGTACTGTGCCCAGCAAAGCAGGACCTGCATGGGAGAAGTGATGACTGCTCCATACCTGAATCTTACAGAGAGGACAGGGAGGGAGAAGGGACTTTCTGTCTCTTGGAAATATCTTCACTATTTGGTTCAAGGATGAGTTAAGGAAATGTCTATCCCACAAATTCTATCCCTCACACTGCACTTCCTCCAAAGCAGCCACTTCCCAAAGGAAAAGGCAAGGAACAAACAAGCAACTCTCTCACTCCCCACCCATTCTCACGCCTGAGGCGGAGGCAGCATCAGAAGGGTCAGAAAACCCCCCTCCCCAGGACAGCCGTGAAGGCAGCCACACAAGGTCACAGAAACACTGGCTCTCACCTTGTTATCACATCACACTCACTTAAGACAATGCTTCTTTTAGACCTCAGCTGGAGAACTGTGTCCAGTTCTGGGCACCACACTTTAAGAAAGATGTGAGAGTCCAAAGCACAGCAACAAAAAGGATAAAAGTTGTTAGGGAACCTGACCTATTAGGAAAGGTGAAAAAAATTGGGCATCTTTAGTCTTGAGAAAAGACGGCTGGGATGAGGGGGACCTGACAACAGTCTTCAAATATGTGAAAGGCTGTGATAAATGGGACAGGGAACAATGGTTCTCCATGTCCACTGAAGTAGGACAAGCAGTAATGGGCTTAAACTGCATCTAGGGAGATTCAGGTTAAATATTAGGAAAAGCTTTCTAACATCAGGGTAATTAAACTCTGGAATAGTTGTGGAATTATTATAACGGGTGGTTGTGAAATTGCCATCATTGTCTAATGCAGGGGTGGCCAACCTGTGGCTCCAGAGCCGCATGTGGCTCTTCAGAGGTTAATACGCGGCTCCTTGCATAGACGCTGACTCCGGGGCTGGAGCTACAGGCGCCAACTTTCCAGTGGGCTGGGGTTGCTCACTGTTCAACCCCCTGCTCTGCCCCAGGCCCTGCCCCCACTCCACCCCTTCCCCCAAGGCTGCCATGCCCTCATTCCTCCCCCAAAGCCTCCTGTGCACCACGAAACAGCTGATCATGGCCATCAGGAGGCGTGGGAAGGGAAGGGGAGGTGTTGATCGACAGGACTGCCGGCGGGTAGGAGGGGCTAGGTGCGGGGAGCTGATGTGGGGCTGCTGACGTATTACAGTGGCTCTTTGGCAATGTACATTGGTAAATTCTGGCTCCTTCTCAGGCTCAGGTTGGCCACCCCTGGTCTAATGTGTTCCTAATAGCCTCTGAACACCTGTGAGGGATGGTCTAGGTTTACTTGGTCCTGCTTCAGCACTGGGCAGCACAGCATGGGGAGGAGGTGACCAGCCCTCTGTGGAGAAAGAAGTGGTTCGGGACTATTTAGAAAAGCTGGACGAGCACAAGTCCATGGGGCTGGATGCCCTGCATCCGAGAGTGCTAAAGGAGTTGGCGGATGTGATTGCAGAGCCATTGGCCATTATCTTTGAAAACTCATGGCAATCGGGGGAAGTCCTGGAAGACTGGAAAAAGGCTAATGTAGTGCCCATTTTTAAAAAAGGGAAGGCGGAGGATCCTGGGAACTACAGGCCAGTCAGCCTCACCTCAGTCCCTGGAAAAATCATGGAGCAGGTCCTCAAGGAATCAATTCTGAAGCACTTAGAGGAGAGGAAAGTGATCAGGAACAGTCACATGGATTCACCAAGGACAAGTCATGCCTGACTAATCTAATTGCCTTCTATGACGAGATAACTGGCTCTGTGGATGAGGGGAAAGCAGTGGACATGTTGTTCCTTGACTTTAGCAAAGTGTTTGACACTGTCTCCCACAGTATTCTTGCCAGCAAGTTAAAGAAGTATGGGCTGGATGAATGGACTATAAGGTGCATAGAAAGTTGGCTAGATTGTTGGGCTCAACGGGTAGTGATCAATGGCTCCATGTCTAGTTGGCAGCTGGTATAAAGGAAAGTGCCCCAAGGGTCGGTCCTCGGGCCAGTTTTGTTCAATATCTTCATAAATGATCTGTAGGATGGTGTGGATTGCACCCTCAGCAAGTTTGCAGATGACACTAAACTAGGAGGAGAGGTAGATACGCTGGAGGGTAGGGATAGAATATAGAGGGACCTAGACAAATTAGAGGATTGGGCCAAAAGAAACCTGATGAGGTTCAACAAGGAATAGTGCAGAGTCCTGCACTTAGGACAGAAGAATCACATGCACCGCTACAGACGAAGGTCCGAATGGCTAGGCAGCAGTTCAGCAGAAAAGGACCTAGGGGTTACAGTAGATGAGAAGCTGGATGTGAGTCAACAGTGTGCCCTTGTAGCCAAGAAGGCCAATGGCATTTTGGGATGTATAATTAGGGGCATTGCCAGCAGATCGAGGGACCTGATCGTTCCCCTCTATTCGACATTGGTGAGGCCTCATCTGGAGTACTGTGTCCAGTTTTGGGCCCCACACTACAAGAAAGATGTGAAAAAATTGGAAAGAATCCAGCGGAGGGCAACAAAAATGATTAGGGGACTGGAACACATGACTTATGAGGAGAGGCTGAGGGAACTGGGATTGTTTAGTCTGCGGAAGAGAAGAATGAGGGGGGATTTGATAGCTGCTTTCAACTACCTGAAAGGGGGTTCCAAAGAGGATGGCTCTAGACTGTTCTCAGTGGTACCAGATGACAGAACAAGGAGTAATGGTCTCAAGTTGCAATGGGGGAGGTTTAGGTTAGATATTAGGAAAAACTTTTTCACTAGGAGGGTGGTGAAACACTGGAATGCGTTACCTAGGGAGGTGGTGGAATCTTCTTCCTTAGAAGTTTTTAAGCTCAAGCTTAACAAAGCCCTGGCTGGGATGATTTAGTTGGGGATTGGTCCTGCTTTGAGCAGGGAGGTCCTGCTCAAAGCCTCCTGAGGTCCCTTCCAACCCTGATATTCTATGAAAGGGGGCTACACTTGCCCTCTTGAGGTCCCTTTCAGCCCTACATTTTTATGAGATGTTGGGAAATCCCACCCCAAGGACAGACTGGGAATGTAGCCACCGATCCCTTGGACACAAGGTCAGCATGGCAGGACCTTCTCAAAGACGTGCCAAGATCCCTCAAACACTGCCACTCAGTCATGTTACTACTAGATCTGGGGCCATAACTGCAAGGAACTGCAGTATTCCTGTGATGGGTTCCTCTGTACTGCAGGACACAGCCATTCCTTCCCTGTGAGGTGGGACACATGCATTCACAGAATGGAGCCAGATAGGGTGATCTGTTACCTAGTAAATCAGGAGGATGGAGCAGGGTCTTTGACTGGTGTTCATGCCATGACAACAGCAATCAATAGGGTTTGCTGAAGCCATCAAGGATCTAAGCCCAGCTTCTAGTGCTCAATGACTGGCTCATGCCTGGCAGTCACTAGGGAAAACAGATCAAACATACATAAGAGTTCTAGAAACGAAAGGGTCAGTGGGAGAAGAGGCCCACCTGCTCTTTGTGGAAGGGGTGAGGATGCTGGGGTACATGGGGGCCTAGATGGCCTTTGAGTTTACTCAGAATTCCAACCTCCCCAGCTCAGCCAGGGTCAGAACAGCCTAACTGCTGTGGCCACTGAATATCTGCCCCACCCCCAACATCAATGCAGTTTGCTTTCTCCTGCTCTCTTAACATTTGCTCTAGCCTCCTGAGAACATGTCAAGTACGGGCTTCAGAGCAGGCATGATTCATTTCGTTTCCTGTCCAAATGGAAGCCCTGTGGCCTGAACCCAAAGAGCAAACCAACTTCAGGATCTGCAGAAACGACAGAGCCAAGAATGAACCCTGTGACTAAGTTACTGAATGCTCCCACCCTTTCTCTCAGCCCAGTCCCAGATCCAGCCTGACTGAGGCGATCAGTGAATGCTGTCCTCCTGCCCTCTCCCTGATGTTGGAGAAAGTAGCTCAGCCTCTGTCCTAGGAAAAGAGATCAGGCAAGGGGCATGCCATGAGGAAGACATGCCTTTCTGAGGAGTTCCCACAAAGGCTACTGTCTTGTTGAAAGGGAGGAGGCTCCTGGCTCTGGTGGCATGGGGTAGAACCCTGGATTTTCTCATGCACTGACCATTTGAGTTATATTTTTCCTCTCCCCCCTCGTTTAAGCAGGTAAACAAGAGTTGACTGCTACGAACTTAACACAAAAGTTTAAAATGGCAAGGACAGCAGAAGGTGAGAGTTTGTGTCCTGGCAGAGCATGGCCAGGGGATTGGCATGGCAGAGGGAGAAGAGTATGCCAGAAGGCTGTAGGTGGTGGCTCAGAGTCCCACCAATATTTCACAAAAATAAAAATGTTACAAAAGTTAAAAAATAATTATAATAATAATAATAGTATGTTGGGTTTGTCAGCCTCCTCCCTGCAAAGGGTCTACGTCCTTGGCACACCTACGCAAAGTGCTGCCACAAGCTGCTCATTCCTCGGGTGAGTGGAGGTTCTTCTTGGGGCCCACAAGTTAATCCGACTCCTAGGACAATCCTGGACCAAAGCAACAACCAGCACAGCCCCAAGCACAAGAATACTTAACATAATATAGATGGAAAAGCTGAAAGGGACATCCCCAAAACAAGAGAGGGCAGAGTTTTCTGGTATCGCCAGGGGCATCAGAGTGAGGAAAGGCACAGCGCCCACGCACAATGGCTGCTGTGCGCAGCTAGGGCCACATCACGGTTAGATGTGTCTAGAGCCAGGATGCAGTCTGAAGCAGGAGGAGGATGCTGAAGGCCCACCCTCGAGTTTTGGGATTACAAAAGCTGAGAACTACAAAACTAAATACAAAGGGGAAAACAGAGCGAGAGCGTGCGAGTGATCCACTATCAGGTGCGAGACCTTTGCGCTCCCCTGGTCTTGCCATGTGGTTCTTTTCACTTCCTCCCTCACAGAGCGAGCACACTAGTGGGGAGAGCCAGCGGCTGCCCCCAGGGCCCTCAGCTCTCTAGTGCTCTTGCATTGGTAGGATGCCGAGGCTCAGACCTTGTAGTAGGCCTCAGACCTTGTAGTAGATGTTGGCTGGGCTCTGAGGGGGCATCTCCTGGACAATGTAGACGGGGTGCCCATAGTCCCCGCTCACCTTTTCATAGTGAGGGCAGTAATTATTTTCTGTAGTCCGTAAGGGGATGATGATATCGCTGGGTTCTGAACCTGCATTACCACTGCACTTGGGACTGGCCAAGGTGCTAAGTGACAAGGCTGCTGACCGCTGCTGGGTGTGCTTCCGGTGCCGCTTGCGGATCTTGATCAGGAGGACAACAAGGAAGATGATGATAAGGATGAAGATGACACAGCCTGCACCGATTGCAGCAAATACTGCCACCTTAGAGCTGAAGAATCCATCACTGCTACCTTGGGTGTTCTGCCCATCTTGGTTAACGGAGCCTGGGGCATGGGGGAGAAAACAAGATGGATTAAAGTGAGGAAATGCCCAAGCATTTAGTCATTCTCCCTTCCCCCTCGGGGAACCTGGGCTCTTCTCTTGCTTAAGCCACAAAAAGAATTTACATGGTCTCAGCCTAATCCTGTTGCTCCACTGCAAAGCCACCACACCCAATTTAGCAAGAGTGGTGGACGGGAATAGCAGGGGGAACTGCAAGTCAGGGATGAGGTACACTGGTAGAGCTCTCGGGAAGAAGCTTGTACGGCTACCAGCACTTGGCCCAGCTCCAAATTCACCCATCTGCATAAGGAAAAGGAAACTCAGTTCACTAATGTACTCCAATGGCAACTGAAAAGTAGCTATTATAGGATGGGACAGAAGAAAAGGTTAAGATACAAGACTGGGCATAACCCAAAGAGGCAGAGGAAGAGAGTTTACCAGGTGATTTCAGGGGGTAGGGTTTGAAGTTCAGTCTAAGGCTTGGTCTATACTTAAAAGTTATGTCAACGTAGCTACAATGGTCTAGGGTGTGAAAAAAATCCCTAACCAACATAATTATGCTGACATAGCCCCCAGTAGACGCAGCTATGTCGACAGCAGAGTACTTCTGTCAATATAGCTAACATCGTTCTGAGAGGTAGTTTTCCTTTAACAGAAAACTCATCTGCCGGTGTAGGTTATGTCTAGCCTGGTATAGTCCCCGTAGTGGAGTCATACCCTATGCTGACACAGGCTATGTCTAAACTATGGAGCCTAAGTACCTGGTTCCAGTACCACACCCAGATTTGAGGACACACCAAGGGGCTGGCAATACCCCAAGGGCCCCCACTCTGCTATATTTGCATCTCCAACCCTTACAGATGGTAGTCAGCAGCAAAGCCCTTCTTCCGAGTGAACTGAGATAGCAGAGGCAACAGTCCAGTTAGTGGGAACATGAGACCCATTGATTCCAGGAGGAGGAATGGGTATATTCTGGAGAAACCCCAGCACAGCAGTGTCCACAGCATATCTTCTTTCACTTTGCATGTACTGGATTCCCCATGTACGTAACCCCAATTACTCAGTCTCAAGAAGCAATGCAATCTCAGGATATGTTTACACTGCAAGTGACGATGTGTTTGTCGCACGGGTAAGAATACTTGTGTGTTACCCAAACTACCTAGATTAAAGCTAACAATAGCAGTGTAGACATAGTGGCACAGGCTAGCAACTAGAGTAGAATATTTACCCAGGCTTCCTAGAGGGCCTGTACTCTGGTTGCTAGTTTGTGTTGAAGCCCATGCCACCATGTCTACACAACTATTGTTAGCTTTAATCTAGCTAGCATAGGTAACGCAGGTATGCCTGCCCATGCTATAATCACACCTTCACTGGCAGTGTAGACATACCATAAGAGAGAAACCTTGGCCACTCACAGACACTGTCATCCCATTGTTGCCCCCTTTCCTCACCCCAATCTGATGTCCTCTCTTTTCACATTCACCTGACTGGACTGGAGATAGATGGCTGTTCACATCCAGTATGTAATCAGATGAACCCCAGGAGTCCCTGCTCCCCCCAGAAGACTAGAAAGCTCTACTGAAAGTGGGTTCTGATGCCTGTAGACCTGCCATATCCTGTTACTGCCCCTACCTCCCTCTAACCCCCAAGTACAAGGCAGGTCTAAGACCCCTGAGGGGAGCAGTTTGGCTTCCTGTCTGTATCACAGATGGAGAAACGAGCAACTTTCCCCCACTTCATCGGATTCCACTTTTCCTGACAGGAACTCAGGAAACCACCTTCAAAGGCCTTTCACCCAGGCTTGGCTCAAAAATCCAGGCAACCTCTATTTTTCCGACCCCCCCAACTCTGCCTCAGTAAACTGACAGATAACAACCAATACAGAGGACAGGAGCAAGAGAGTGCTAAAGGAAAACTCCCCCTGCTTAAGACACCGGGGAGCTCCAGAAACTATCCTTCAGAGTCCAAGTCCATTCTGCCACTGCTCTGGACTCTGGCAGCATCTCACTGTCTATGAGCAGCGACATCAGGAGATGCATGGTGAGGGAACCCCAGATGATGAGTTTGCAGGAACCTGTGCAGAGAGCTTGCAGATGTCTAACTCCCTACTCTAAGGTATCTCGATTTCCCTGGACTCTTAGAACTGAACTGGGCCTGGCTCCTCTGGCAATCAATAGCTGGTCCAGGACCCACTAAGAGCACTACTGGTTTTCCTCTCTTTCTTAAAATGCACAGGCAAACCTACCTGGCTTCCCAGGATCCTCCACCACAGGGACCTTGTGGCGTGGACTGTGTGTGGCGATTTTCACTGTATTGTCAGATTCCTTGCTGGGCCGACTGGTTGTCAGCTGCTCTGGGATCACAGCATTTGGATCTGGGAAAAAGAAAGACGGAATGAGAAATCTGCTTCCAGGTGCTAGATTACAAGATCAAGAGCTGTAGCTCTTCCTCCACCGTCAATCGCTTAAACCTCACTCCTTACCCTGGTATCTGAGTGCCCATGTCAAACGTTGTTCATAAAGGTGGTGCAGCACAACATGCTGCGTGTGCACAAGTGCAGGCTGGCCCTGTGCAAGGTCTACATGCTTGTATGGGCAGGAGGAAGGAATCAGAGGCATGGGGCAAGGGATTGATGGGTAAGAGTGGGAGGCTTGGTAAAGAGGCTTAGGAACACTGGGTACATTTGCCTACTATGTATGGAGGAGCAAGCATTCCCCTTGGTTTTAAACGTGCACTCTGATTCTCATGTCCCCCAGCTCCAACGGTGAGTGCTAGGCTAACCACATAGAGAAAGGGTCGGGGTGAACCAGAGTGATACAAGGCTTCTCTCCCTCGTTCAAATAACCAGTGTTCAGGACTCTGGGCCAAAACAGCCTCTGGCGTTCTATTGCACCAGCAAGCATGATTCCTGGAGACAGGCACAGGTCCTGCCTTGGTTTTGCATTTGAGGCATTTCCTTTTAACTAGAGGATGTGTGATGGTTTGAGGTTAAGTCCCACATTTGAAAGTCATTCTCTAATCAGTCTCCGTGGTTTCCTCCACACTACCCCTTTATGCAGGGAATGCCCTCCCTGAATTAATCTGTAAGGCTACTACTGTTTCCTCTTTCTAATCCCTCCAGTAGACTCACCTCTGCTGTGACACCCGCAAGAAACTAACCAGCCAACAATGATTTAGTTGTAAGTCAAGGAGAGTGATTTGATTGAAATTTAAGACAATTGAGAACAATCAGGACCACCAAGTTGCACAAGTCACTAACCTAATGTGAGGCATGATCTTATCTTCATTATGCTCCTCCCTCACCTCATCTTATCCTCCCTTACATTCAGTAATTGTTTACAGGGAGGGCTCTTTAAGGCAACACTGTATCTTCCAGTGTGCACAAGGCACCCAGCACAATGGGGCCCCAATCCCTATTGGGGATTCTCAGTGTGACCACAATACAAAATAGTACCAGCTGCCTCAGGAATAGACAGAGGGTGGTGGAAGGTGGTTTCACACAGGCACCCCTTCTCAAGAGCAGTACACGTTAAAAGGCAGGACTGTGAGCGAGGTTGCGTTTCCTGAGAACACTCAAAAACAAACATTTCTCCTGAACTCCGTCTGGAACCCAGCTCAGCCTGGAGGGTTCTGCACCTCACAGGGCTGGCTCAGGAAATCAAGGGGTTACGTGCTGCAGAAGCAAGACTGGATTGGGCCATATCTATCCCTGGGGTAACATCACTGACTTCAGAGGGCTACACCAGACATGAAACTGGCCACCAAATGGAGATGAAGAGAGGAGCAGCTCAGAGTTTTATGGGGAGCGTGTGTGCCTGGGAGGGTGCGCGCATGGGAGGGCACGGGGAATTAAGGAGTAAGATCCTTATCTGTTGCCAGAATGCAGGTGTTTCCATTAGATTTAAGTGCAGCTCATGGATAGCTTCATTTCACAAGTAATACAATTGTTCAGTTTGGCCCCAGACATACACAGTGTGCTGCAGAACACTGCAGTACTGGAAGCACAGGCCCTGCCCTGAGACACTTATAATCTAACTGGAGAATGGCAGACACAGTCCTCGGAAAACAACAGCAAGCAAAGAAGGAAGGCGCACAAAGCTGAAATGTGGTCATGGCTGCTGAAGTGACACAGGGAGCATCGCATCAGCTGCCATATTTAAAGTAATTTTGTTGGCTTGAGTAGTATCTGTTATATGGGTCACTGTCTGAGGCCCTGTGAGCAAAGATGGGTTTGAAGGAGGGATCTGCAGGAGGGGAATGAGGCTGCGCATTGTAAGGCTGAGAGAAAACATTCCCTGGACAGCCTTGGAAACGGCACAAAGGAATTTTTACACCGAAACAGAATTAGCAGAGGGTCCAAATAGGAGGGCAAGCCAGGGACCAGCAACAAGACATAGGTGGGGCTAGCACCTCAAATATAAGAGTGAGACTTTGAATCTGATATGGAGCCTAGAGAGAGAGAGTATGGACACTGTAGATCATAGCTGGTAACGCTCCGTCTTGAGCCAAAGGTCTGTGCTGCTTTTGCATGATACCCTCAGACCTCTAATCTTGGTGGTATGCAAGAGAGACAAGCTGAAGACAAGCGCTAGCAATCTGTTTCTTTTTAAGACCATTAGGATTGACATTGCCTGAATTGCTTTCAGTTTGGGGGAGTTTAGGCAATACCCTTGGCTTGGTGGGTGGGAAGTCCTGCCATCCCCTTCAAGGCTAGAAGTACTAGAGCAGAAACAGCAGTGAGAGTCAGATAAACAAGAAGCAGAGGTAGATTCCTAGCTGAATCCTATACGCACCAGGATCTCCCCTTTGGACAACGTTACAAACTGCATTTTACTGTAATTAGTTGAGTGAAGCTTGTGTGGGCTTGTTGCCTGTGGGCCTTTTGGACCACAGTAAGGCCTTCAACTTAAACACTAACAATATGTGACAAGCCCCATTAGATATTTTGTTCCCCCAAAATGTTTCCACCTAGGGTTTAGGAACAACCACCTGAAGCTGGCGTATTTTGGCTGCCCTCTTACCCGCCCCAGAAAGGGAGCTAATAAATGTGTCCCTCCACTCCCAGTTTAACATAGTCATGGAGTTTTAAACCCTTGTGAGTATCACACAGAAATGAGCCTGTCATGGGTTTTGCTGGGAGAACCCAGAGCTCCAGACCCACCTCCTGCCGCCTCCAAGGCATTTGTTGCTCATTGATGAATAATGCAAGTAGCTCCCTTGGTGGTAGCAAAATGTCACAGAGCAGGGAGGGCATTTGACAGAGCAGAACAAGATGGCTTTCTTGGTGCCTCCTTGGCAAGACCATGGTCTGTTCAGCATCACTAGAGGACGGGCAACACAGACAAGCCAGCTTCACCCTAGCTGCAGCCATATCCCCCATCCTTCCCTTTCATGTCCATCTGATTATGTGCCCAATTTTGCATTCTAAAGTGACCACATCAAACACAACACAGGGAGCAAAGATGCTTCACCTACTCTGGCTGGAACTTTGCTTACAAGCAGACCAAAGGGATGCATAAGACTTAACTGAGTGTGGGAAACCAGCAACAGTCTGAGAGCCAAGCAATTCCTATTACTGCTCCCCTGGTCTGGGAAGTGTGACATGATGCAGAAAGGAAAGAGGCCAACCCACAGGAGTTACTGAAATAGCAACATCAAAGCTAGTCCTCTCCGCAAAGGAGCATTAACAAAACAGGCAACAGAACCAGACTAACTGCCAAATGAAAACCACGGAACTAACAAGCCATATGCTAACTTCAGCTTCAGTCAGTGGCCTGCTGCTGCCTCCCATCCCCTAGTTTGCTGTCTTCTATTTAGAGTGTAAGCTCTTCAGGACAGGGACCTTGTCTGCCTCTTTGCCTGAAAGGCATCACTCTAGAAAGCACACATGAAAGGGCAGTGATGAGGTAGCACTGTCTTTAAGGGAGGGCAGAGGCATCGGGAGGCTGAGAGAGAGGAGTTCGGGGACATCACAGGCTTGGAACATTTCAGAACTTTGGGGGAAACAGTTTTTTGTTGGTGGTTTTTTAAAGATTCCTTCTGAGCTCCAGTGCATGGGTCTGCGCCTATTTCCAACAAAGGCAGCTGAGCGAACACAAAGGAATCTAACTTTCCAGGGCAGCAGCACTATTCCTTTTGTTTTGTTATAAATACTGGCTCCAACAACATCAAACAAAATAACGAAAAGCAGCCACTCTGAGTTCTGCATCCAGGGAGTGAGCTGGAGTCAGGCCTGCGGCATCACTGGGGCCCAGAAGAACTCCACAGATTGGGAAGAGGATGTTTTCAGAGAGCTTCGGCCATCAGAAAAAATTATACAGCAGAGCACATTTAAAGGACTCAGATAGGTCATGGCTGCACTACAATCCCTTATTCTGGGGGCATTTCCCAAGGAAGCATCAGATGTCAGAAAGAATTCGGTGCCTCAGCCCTGTTCCCACAGCTGCCCCTTCTCCATGCCAGGAGCCATGACCTCCTTGTAGAATCCCAGCATGCACAGGGAAAGCTCATAGAAGGCCAAAGAGACTGGGCCATGTGGTACCTCTTGGAATTAAATTGCAGCTCCAGAAACGCCATTTGGATGAAGCTGTGATATCACTCCCAGAATATCTCAAAGCACAGAAGGTGAAATTCATTAGTATTAGGGGCAAAATCACTCTCCCCTGAACACACTGAAAGGTCCAGGGCCACAAAACGACAGACTGATATTGCCTACAAATATGCAGGGGGCTGCTCAAAGGAGAGTCAATGGAGGAACAGCCATCTGTGCCTTGGGTGCCCAGGGCCCTATGCAATGCAGTGGGTTTTGCAACAAGACCCACAGCCACCTTCATTGTTAATATTGATGAGCATCTAGTGCATTGTGTTGGTAGATGCATTATCCCCTTTAGGATCTATCCCACAGAGAAGATAAGGCTTCTGCCAGATCTCTGTTAGCTCAAGCAGTAGTGACCTGAACTGTTGACGCTGAATGCCCAAGGTTTAGTTGTAGCTCCCTGAGTCGGCTATCTGCAGAACATGGATTCCTTGAGGATGGCCTGCAGAAACTGCAACTGCTAGAATGCAATTCTTAGTCTGGGCAACGTGGCTTCTAGGACCTCTATTCCTGACTGGTTGCAATAAATTCCATTTTATGCAAACTAGGAGTAACTATTGGACTTCTTGCAATTTGCCAATGTGCCTTTTGACTGCTATGGTTTGAGGAACCCCTGGCTTGGAGCTATTTCAGAGGGGAAGCCCCTAATTTCTAGCTCTCCCTTCTGATGGCCATCTCTCGCTCACTTCAATAATGGGACAGGTGGGGAGAGACAGGAAGCCCCCATTTTAGTTTAAGAACTGGATTTTCTTGCAGAAAGCAGTTTTTGCCATCTTACTTTGGTGCAGAATAGTTCAGACTTGAAAGTTGTGTCTAGTTTATATATTAGGCAGGAACTGAGAACAGGCCAATTCAGCACAGGCTAAACAACTTCAGCTATTTCTTGGGACCTGCAGTATCCAACATTCAGATTTGTTCTCCCAGCAATGGGGAACATGGCAACCCCCTTTATGTATGGCACTGAGGAAGCTGGAGGACTCTGCCCGATCACAGATCAAACCAGTTTCAGTTGACCATCCATCTCAGAGTCTGAGCTCATTTCCAGCGAAGTGATAAAACCAAGGTGGGGTGGAACTGACACTTACTGTAACTTGGGCTCATAATGCTGTGTGTGCACAAATGTTGGCCAAAACAGGACCCTAAAACTCAAACTCTGCTGAACAATTGGGAAATGTCACTGCTCAAACAGCAGTTGCCCTGTACTCCCTAATCAACATGCCAGACTATAGCCAGTAACCCCACTTTGGGCCTAGAGAGGAAGAGGCTGCTATAAAAAGTTGCTTGAACTTTCTAAAGTGTTAGCACAAAAGGGAAAAAAAATAATTCCAATTAGATCTCTGTTTTGGAGAGACCACCCTCTTGTGGGAAAGTAATGATGGAACATTTAATTAGATGGAAACAGCTCATTCCATTAGCAGCCAATCAGAATATCTGTTGCATGGGCCCTCCCAGATAAGGCCATGAATGCTTCAGAATCTTGAACCATGATTGGCTGCTAAACTCAAATGATTTAATCCTCTTCATTAAACTCAAATGATTTAATCCTCTTCATTATCTAAATGACATTCTAATCATTTGGGACAGGGGTGGGCAGTATTCACAATCAGAAGTGGGAAGTCTGGGGCACTGGAAAATAAAGTGTAGGAAACAACCCTGCACTGCCCCCTGGATTACAGGGGACTTCATAGGTCGTCTTCTCTCTCAGTTTCTTCAGTATGCCTGGAGCAAAAATGGAGCAACCCAAAGGCATCATCATCACCTGTATTTTACAGCATCAAATGAGCCACAGGCTTCTGGGCACCATAACATTTATTATAGAATTGATCAACATAAGTTAGTGATCAAATACAAAGACATCAAACTAGCTCCTTCCTCACCACTCCCCACATGATGTCACAATTAAGATAAACAACTCAACCAAAAGACACCAGTTCTTCAGTCCTGCCCAGCTCAGTCCCTTCATGAGAAGCCTCCTGTAGTGTTGGGAGTTGCAAACCTGCTGTCCCAATGATACTTTGTCAAGCTCCCAAGAAGGGTTTGCTAGCACATCTCAGCAAGCCTGGACTGCACAGCGGCTATGTAAAACGTAGCACATTTCATTTCAATACTGATTTCATGTCCAATGGGAAAACTCCAGACGACTGGAGTGACTCACCCTGCCCCACTTTCATGACAATCTTCATAGAGCGTGTCTGGCAGACTCCACCTTCTCTGTTCTCCAGGCCTTCCAGAGTCCCATTGGAAGTGGCTACAGGGAAAAAGAAGACTCAGTTAAAGAGCATTTATTAAATGGAAGGGTCTTCAAGAAGGCAAGGAAAGAGGCATAGATTAACATGGGGGTGGTGCCCCAAAAAGAGTGGTTCAAGAGTTACTCTGATCTCATGTCTGTGCTGAGGTAACCTAAAGGAATGGGGAGCAGTTTAAAGAGGATTGCTTGTGTCGCTGCAGAAACACAGGGGGCTCCATGTCTCTTCAGCTGTGTTCTCTTTGCTAAGCAGTGGGATGCAGTGCTTTAGACCTTTATTCAGTGGCTGGTCACCTCAGGCTAGCTGTTCAGAAAGGTCCCAAGAAAAACCTTGAGGGTTTCTCCTAACATTACCGTCGCAAAATTCTGTTTACAATCAGAGTAAGAGAATGAAACTGAACAAAGAAATTCAGAAAACATAACAGGAAAACCTCCTGAGAGCAGGAGCCAGTTAGGCTACAAAATAGTATTATATGAGTCCTAGTAACATTTTCCATCTCTCTCCTGATGTGCGCATTCATTCCACAATGTTCTCACCTCCCTCCCCACTTCTAGCCTTCGGTCAGGATATTTATGGGCTTCCTCATTCTACAGTCCTGAGCACACAGTAAATGTTTAATACACCGAACTCTAGTCTTCTGTAGTCTTCTCCAAATCCCAGCTGCTCCACCCCCCAGTTCCACTCACTCAAACCTCTAGCCCATTAAAATAGTTATCCTGCTGCTTGAACTGGTTGCTGAGCTGCTAATTAGATTGTACTCCAAGGAAAAATGAGAAACCGAATCTGACAAAGGCCAAGGCTCCCATTCCACAGCCATAGCACAATGAGGATAAAAGCTGCAGAGAGGCAGCAGGGTACTGGAAGAGAGGAATGCTCCGGAGGCTAAACTTTCCAAGCCATAAACCAGAGAGATTCTCTCCATCACTTTGTCTCCCCTTAATAGGGAGCTTGTTAACCCCATGAGGACAAAACGTGAAATGTTCTTTTCACCAACCTGTCGCCCTCCCCCTCTTAAGGCTGGTTAATGGCTTTCTGAGCAGCCTGGGGCACTAGCCTAACACTTAAAGGGGCTGCTACTGCTCAGAAAAGTGGCAGTTGATGGACAGACCCCAGCTGCCTCATGGAATGGGGTCTACAGTCCTCCCCTCCTTGTTACGCTATCTCCTTCTGACCCAGTCCCCAGCTCCAGCCCCATAGCAGCTTCTCCTCCAAGAGGCACAGCGCAGCACTTGATGAACTCAGATGATGTCTGGAATATGGGCTGCTACAGCAGCACAGACCAGTGGTCTGTCTAGAACTGGATTATCCCTCCTCCTCCTCATCTCACTTGATAAGACTGGTCCATCTGTGCAGCATGGCTTCAAGAAGATGCCGCAGAGGAAGGAGACAGTTCTCGCTCACACTCACTCACCTCTTCCCACCCATACCAGAAGGTTCAGGGGGGATTTCTTCCTGCCCCCAGCTGCTGCTGAGTTTATGCTCTGAAGCCTGAGGACTTGCAGCCCTGTAAATGTTTACCTGAGAGCATGTCACAGTAGATGCTATTACACCAAGTTTTTCCTTAATTTTTTTTTTTTTAAAGAAGGATTGGGGGAGGCACTCCACACATGAAGTATAGACAATTCAGCATACAGTCAGGAAGGATGGTCTTTCAGTTAAAGCACAGGACTGAGATGGAGAAGATCTGGGTTCAGGACCCAGACTCTGCCACATAGACTGAGAGACCATGGCAAGTTCCTTGATCTCTCTGTACCTCAGTTCCCCATCTGTAAAACAAGGACAATACCACCTCCTTTCTCCACCTTTTATTTGTTTTGCCTATCTTCAATGCAAGTTCTTTGGGACAGGGACTGTATCTTACTATATATTTGTTCAGTGTCTAGCACAATGAGGCCCCAATTACAGTTGATTTCTACCATAAAGCAAATCATAAATAAAAGAATCTGGGATACATTTTTATTGCCAGGAATAAAGCTTTACTGGTTATTTTTTGTTTCGCAACCATTTCATATAAATAAAGTACAGTACACACAGGAATTACTTTACAGACCACTTGAATGCACTCATCTCTGAGCGCAGAAGAGAAAGTGGCTGTTTAACAGCAACGTCAGGGCCACTTAAAAAGACAGTGTTTCCCATGATAAGGAAGCAGTTCTGAATCAGGCCCTTCATCACCCATACCTCATCCTCAAGGCTTATGGGCCCTTCATCGCCCCCTCTACCGCCAGTAGATAATTCCCCTTACTGCTTGAGGTGTGTGATAGGAACATGTATGTATGCACAGTATAAATTATACATATATAATTACACACTGTGCATCAAAGAATGTAAACTCAGAGCCCCAATGGATTCGAATGACTATAATTTCAGGGCAGAAGTCAGCTAAACTCACATTAACTTTTTTTTTTTTTTTTTTTGGTCTGTGCAGATTTTAAGTCTCTTTTGTTCCTGTGGGAGTGAAGTAAGCCACACACCTCTTGCTGTTACGGAGAAGAAAATGACATATCAACATGCTCAAGAGCCTCCTCTCGTGACTGGAGCAGCTCTGATATGCCTGCCTGTGTTGCGGCTAGGACTGGGAGTCATGTGTAGTTAGGCGCTTGGTTAGACTGTATACCACCCTAACAAGCACCATATAATTATCAAAAGAGAAACTGCTGTGTCTCTGAATTTAGAATAGTGCCCCAGGATAATCCTGGCCCTCCAAGATGGGTGGGAAATGGAGTCCCTTGATACGGATCTTTTCGCCTTGCCTTCTGATCCCCGACCCGTCCGTTATATGGATGACGCCATACTAGGGCAAAACAGAATTTGGCCAGGATATCTGGGCTAATCCCCATCCCTAACTCCTGCACAGAGCACCATGGCATATTTAATAGCCAAAAGAGGATAGGAGGTTTGTGAAAGGCCTGAGCCCTTCCCTCCCTCTGTAGTACAAAGAGTCTTATTTTAAGGGGAAACACAGGAAACTGATGACATGTGGCTGACTGGAATAAACACATCAGGAATGCAAGGGAATCTTTAGGGTTACAAATCTGATTCTATCTCAGCTCGGATGTTATGGGTAGTAGCAAGGGCCTGAAACAAGGTCTCTTTCCTAGTGACCCAACCCAAACAAATAGGGTTCCAGGATTGTTCAGTCTGGTGCCTTGGTCAGAATCAATAAACAGTGATTCACAGGAAGGTACAGGCCTTCCTTAGTATACCTAGTTAACAGTGCAATGCTTTGCACAGAGAAGGGGAACTGCCTGATGAGCCCACAGGAATCTGCTGATACTCTGAAGCAGGTGATCAGATACTTCCTTAATATGAAATAACCACAAATGTTATAAGTGATCAGAAAGTTATCCAGCCACAGGGTGCCTTGATAACCCTCCTGTGGCACCAATTTCCCAGACGACCAACTCGTCACTGCCTGAAGTCTTATTTCACTGTGTGTTTGGGATTCACAGGCTGTTAGTTTCATTAAGTGCTCTGTCACCATCAGACCTAAGTCAACTGGATGGAGGGGCCGGGGAAGTTTCCCTTTGAGAACCATGCTAACAATTTCCATCTCTTGGTCAGGCCCTGAACTCAGACCTCTCACAGCAGCATTTTAGGGAGATAATTCCTCTGTCAGGAGAAATGGGTAGCTCCAGAACAAGCAGGGGTGCTGGAACAATTTTTATGGCAGGAGGGCTGAGAGCCACTGAACCGAACAGTAAAATCCTGTATATAATGGAATCCACTTCAAGTCAAGGGGTGCAGCAGCACCCCCAGTCCCAGCACCTATGGGATCAAGAAGAGATATGGTTCCCTCTATGCCTTCTCACCCTGCCATGTAAATTCAGGTCAGGCCTTTATCTGCTTCAGATTTTCTAGAAGACTATCAGTGTTACCGGCCTCTAGCCCACTCTTACCAATTTACTATCGATGTTGAGAACTGTCAACTCAGTCCACTACTCAACTTTTGCGTATCAGAAATTATAATCAACATACACAATAACATCCTGTGTTCCATACAGAGGAGTGACAGGGTTCCCAATAAAACAAAGGGTCACTAGTGAGACAAGCAGGCCCATAATGAGGACTCTTCGTTGAACTGACGAGCAGGCAAATGAGAGAACGGTGTAGGCGAGTTCATTTCATTTCCCCTCAGAAACAGCAAAAAGGTTTCTTTGAAATCATCTGACCTACAAATCCTGAACTTCCCCTTTGTTGTGGGAAGACAGGGCAGTTACCCTATTTAGATGGCTGGAGGGTACAGGACAAGCCAGTGGGCACCCTAACAGACTCTATGATGCCATGGAGATGGAAAGATGCCCGCACACCCATTCACTCTTCTGTGTTTAGGGTCCAGAATAAAAACAGAACTGACTAATGGCCAAAAGCATAATTCTAAAACAGTTTCACATACAGGAAACTACACACACCCTAGCCTACCGTTACAAGCAATGGGGCTATGGGAACGCGGCAAGTGTAAACTGTATTCCATACACCCATAGCAGTCAGTTCATCTTTGGTGGGCACAAGGCAAGATATTTTGTAAGATAAAAATCAAGGAACACTCCTCCTTCCCCCTGCCCCACTTGTGACTGGTTTATGGGAAGAAAGGGGGATTAGAAACAAAAGAAAATGTAAAACTGTTGGATACCTTTCTCCATCTATCAATTTTTACCCTATTATAGAGAAAACCATCCAGGTCCATGGGGTGCTCTGCTCTGGTCCTTAGATCTAGCCCTTTAGAAACAGGAGCACAATAGCCAGAGAAAGCTGCACAAGATTGCACCGACCAGAGACAAGGCAGTGGCTCCTGACAGAGAAAAAGACTCACGGAAAAGATGGGTGCAAGCTATCTCTCTGGAACCAAAGAGAACATTGGCAGGCATGGTGAAAGCAGGAGCAAGAGCTCAAATTGCCCCACTCCCTTCCTAAGAAGCACCATCAGCAGCCAGTACGGGAAGGAGATCAACTTGACGTGCCAGTGTAAACCACAACAAGGAGCTAGTGCTATGGCAGGGAA